TTGCTAACCTTGATATGTTTCTACAAATTATTTTGGATTTTCTACAAATATCAGCTATAAGTAATAGAAATGATTTATATTTTTTACTAATTCAATTATTTTGCTAAATGTATGAAGGCAATTGGGCTATAATATTCTTGTCATAAAAAATGGCAATTCTGATATCACAATATGAGAAATAGTTACTTGTTTTTCAGTTTTCTAAGAGGTAATTATAAGATGGCTATTTTCTGTTTAATCTTGAATTGACTGTGAAGATATCTAGAGATTTCTGACACAGGGACTTTAATAATGATTTACTTTATTTAAACATATGACTGTGATAATTTCTTTTTGAAGAAATTTTGGTTTTCTATAATGGTGTATATATATATATAAATATATAGTAAATATATATCTTATGTGTCATATATATGTGCATTCTATTTAATTAACCTGATTAACCAACTATAATAAAAAAAGTTATCTACTCTTGGGATCTCTAAAAATTTGTTTAACAATGGAAAAATATGGGCCTTTGGACTAAACTTAGTGGATGCAGATGAATAGAAATATGAAGCTTTCTATATAGCAGCTGTATTTGTGTAAGTGTCTCAGTTTCAACTTTTTTGCCTCCAGAGGATATGTTCATCTCCTATCTTTGCATATGTTTTAAAAACTTTGGACTAACTCCCTCCTCTCACATCCTTAGGATTGCTGCAGCATTGGCTTTACATAATCAGGATTGTGATTATCTGTGCTTTCTTTATTGCTGATATTGAGTCTTTTCCTGTTTTTCTTGTAAGCACAGAACATTATTTCATTTTTCTAAAGTTTTATTGAAAGAGATGATTTGCAACGTTGTGTTAGTTTCAGATGTCCAACAAAGTGATTCAGTTATATATTGTTCAGTCACTCAGTCATGTCTGACTCTGCCACCCCCATGGCTTGCCATGGTTTCCCTGTCCATCTCCTAGAATTTGCTTAAACTTATGTCCATTGAGTCAGCAATGCCATCCAACCATTTTATCCTCTGTCATCCCCTTCTTCTACCTTCAATCTTTACCAGCATCAGGGTCTTTTCCAATGAGTTGGCTCTTCATATCAGGTAGCCAGAGTATTGGAGCTTCAGCATCAGTCCTTCCAATGAATATTCAGGGTTGATTTTCTTTAGGATTGACTGGTTTGATCTTGCAGTCAAAGGGACTCTCAAGTCTTCTCCAGGACCACAGTTCAAAGGCATCAATTCTTCAGCACTCAAATTTCTTTATGTCCAGATCTCACATTCATACCTGACTACTGGAAAAAAAGATAGCTTTGACTCTATGGACCTTTGTTGGCAAAGTAATGTCTCTGCTTTTTAATATGCTGTCTAGATTTTCATTGCTTTTCTTCCAAAGAGCAAGTGTCTTTTAATGTCATGGCTGCAGTTACCATCCACAGTGATTTTGGAGCCCAAGAAAATAAAGTTTGTCATTGTTTCCTTATCTATTTGCCATGAAGTGATAGGACCGGATGCCATGATCTTCATTTTTTGAATGTTGAATTTTAAGCCAGCTTTTTCACTCTCCTCTTTCACCTCCATCAAGAGTCTCTTTAATACTTCTTTGCTTTCTGCCATAAAGGTGGTGTCATCTACATATCTGTGGTTATTGATATCTCTCCCCACAATCTTGAATACAGCTTGTGCTTCATCCAGCCCAGGATTTAGCATGTTATACTCTGCATTTAAGTTATATACATACTATATATATATATATTAAATTCTCTTCCATTATAGGTTTTTTACAAGATACTGAGTATAATTTCCTGTGCTATCCAGTAGATCCTTGTTGATTATCTATTCTGTACATAGCAGTGAGTATATGATCATCTCAGCCTCCTAACTTATCCCTCACCCTCCCATGCAGTGTTTCCCTGTTGGTAACCGTAAGTTTGTTTTTGATATCTGCATGTTTCTTTGTTTTATAAATAAGTTCATTTGTATCATCTTTTAAAATTCCACATATAAGTGGATTTATGTATCTGTCTGTCTCTGACTGACTTAGTTCACTTAGTATGATGATTTCTAGGCTATCCATGCTGCTGTAAATGGGACTATGATAGTTCATTCTTTTTTACGGCTTAATAAAATTCATTGTATCTATGTACCAAACTTGCTTTATCTGTTCCTCTTTCAGAGAATACCTGTCAATGTGTTGGCTGTTTTAAAAAATGCTGCTGTGAATACTGAGCTACATATATCATTTCAAATTTTCATTTTCTCCAGCTATATGTCCAGGAGTGGGATTACAGGACCCTATAGTAGCTCTGTGTCTAGTTTTTCAGGGAAGCTCCACAGTGACTGTACCAATTTTACTTCCCACCAACAGTATCAGAAGATTCCTTTTCTCCACATCCTCTCCAGCATGGTTTATAGAATTTTTGATGTAAACTACTTCACTTTAGTATTGGTTTCCACTCCTTTAATCCTTAGCAATGTTGAACATCTTTTCATCTACCCTTTGGCCATCTTTATCTCTTCTTTGAAGAAATGACTATCGTGGGGAAGCTAGTAATGTAGTTTTGTTCAGGCTTCAGAAATGACACTAGGCCTCTCTCTCAGTCCAGAAAATGACCCTAAAACTGACTACATGCCAAACTGCTGAACTACCTACAGGCCAGAGCAGTGTTACCAAAATATCTTTTTAAATCATTGTATAAGACAGGGAGTTTTTAGTCTTGGGACATTTTGATCCTCGTGGGCCTGGCCAGCTCCCAGGGATCAGAGAACATTCCAGGACTTATAAATGTCGTGGTCTTTATTCATGACAATAACCATAGCTGCACATTTCCATCTAGGCTGATTATCAACTTACAGCCTGGTATTATAAGCTGGACTCCTCCAAGCAGCACACTAAACTATCACCCATGGGGTGGATGCACCTCCTGGGGCCTTTCCCAATTGGGACTCCAGACTGCTGTTCCAGGGACTTCCCAGCACTACTTGCATCTGGTTTCCCCAATTCAGTGACATATAAACCTCTCTCTCTCATTATTCTTTTGAAATCAGTTCTATTCCTTAATTAGCATATTATAATCTTTGTTAATTCAATATTATTGTAAGCTCTTATCAAGTTAATAAATTCTTTTAATTCTTGCTCAACTAAGTGTAAAGTGGTTATTTTACCAGCAAATCCTATAAACCTTAAAACCAAAAGTAAGGCCTTTGGCAAAACAATTGTTTACTTTTTCTGCCCATTTTTTGATTAGGTTATTTGTCTTTTGGAGATTGAGCTATATGAACTGTTGGTATATTTCGGAGATTAAGCCCTTGTCAGTTGCATTGTTTGCAAATATTTTCTCCCATTCTGTAGGTGGTCTTTCTGTTTTGTTTATGGTTTTCTTTGCTGTACAAAAGCTTTTAAATTTAATTAGGTCCCATTTGTTTATTTTGTTTTTATTTCCACTACCCTAGGAGACAGATACAAAAAATATTGCTGCTATTTATGTCAAAGAGTGCTCTGCCTAGGTTTTCCTCTAAGACTCTTATACTAGGTCTTTAATCCATTTTGAGTTTATTTTTGTGTCTGTGTTAGAGAATGTTCTAATTTTATTCTTTTACACAAATTTGTCCAGTTTTCCTGGTACATTTATTGATGAGACTGTCTTTTCTCCATTGTATGGTTTTCCTCCTTTGTCATAGATTAATTGTTCATAGGTTCATGGGTTTATTTCAGGGTTTTCTACCCTATTCCATTGTTTATATGTCTGTTTTTCTGCCAGTATCATACTATTTTAATTACTGTAACTTCATAGTATAGTTTGAAATCAGGGAGCCTGATTCATTCAGCTCCATTTTTTTTTTTCTCTCCCTCAAGATTGCTTTGGCTGTTTGGAGTCTTAAAAAAACCTTTTTTCTGTTTAAAGTGCCATCGTTAGTTTGATAGAAATTGCATTCAATATATAAATTGCTTTAGATAGTGTAATCACTTTAACAATATGGAATATTCTAATCCAAGAATATGGTGTACCTTTCCATCCATTTGTGTGATGCTCCTGTGAACACGTCCTGCTGGCCTTCAAAGCCAAATGTTCTGGGAGCTGCTCCTCTTGATGCCAAGTCTTTAGGCTGGGGAGCCTGACATGGGGCTCAGAACTCTCCCGTTGGAGAACTTCTGTGATATAATTATCCTCTCAGGGGGTATGTAATTTGATAATTTAATGTATGTACCCTTCATACCATCTTGTTGTGGTTTGGTCTTTGTCGTTGGATGTAGATTATCTTTTTTGGTAGGTTTCAGTCTTTTATTGATGGCTGTTTCACCATTAGTTGTGATTTTGGTGTTCTTGTAAGAGGAGTGAGTTCAGGTCCTTTGATTGTCATTTTGTCCTCTAGAACATTTTCACTTTACCCTATATTTTGAAAGCAAAACATTTTGCTTTATATAAAGTATACATTTTAACATTTACATATATCTATACACATTATATATTTATAACATTAAAATAAAGAAAGATATATGCAAACTGTAGCAGCATGAACTCCTGAGTAGAAAATATGAAGATCAACATGGGATGATGACTCTCTTTATTTGACATGTTACACTTCTACATTATTTAAACTGTTTATAAACAAGAGTACTGATTAAAATTTAAATATTTTTAAATACAATCACCCCAGAAATACAATTTTATAAAACTGAATTATAAATACATTGAAGACAAAATGTGTGAATGCACATTTTTTTTTTCTCTCCCTCAAGATTGCTTTGGCTGTTTGGAGTCTTAAAAAAACCTTTTTTCTGTTTAAAGTGCCATCGTTAGGCAATATTTAAAGGCAATATTTTAATTATGTTTCATAAAATAATCATACTTTGAAAAATATACTTCAAAAAGTATGATTTGAAACATCAAATACTGTGTGTTCTATACTGTGATTTACAGTCTCAGAATCCTCCTGAGAATTAGGTATTTTTACCATTTCCTTTCCTTTCAATTAGCACAGCCCTACTTAATCTTTTTCTTTTTTCCACACCTAGGTCATCTATTGCATACTACTTGAAGAACAACCTTATGGCTAAACTGGAGTTTGTACATCATTTACTTAGACCAAGGTAAGACTACATTGTTTTTCTCTTTGGAAGTTTTGTACTACTCTTGTGTATATTCTGAAAATCTGACTATGCCCTCTTATTTCTCTACAACAAAAATATGAACACATGTGAACATCTCATGTACTTATATTGTGCTCCTTAGTGTAATTAAAAACCAATTTCTTACTTTAGTAATCTTTATAAGTAGCAAGCAGTTGATCAACACATTATAAATAGAACACATTTAGATAATTTATAAATGTAGTTAGTTAATAACTTTTAATAACTTATAAAGTTTATATTTATTAGAAGTGCCCAACTTAATCAAATGGATGTCTTGTATTATTCTCATCTGTTCATGTGTTTGGATGATAATTTGTAAATGCCTCAATGAGTAAACACTGAGAAACTTTTACATAAATATAATTATTATACATGTAAGTAACTTTTCTATAGCAAAGTCACTGAATACTTTAAGCCTCTTCTGATTTCTATGTCAACAAACAAAACAACCCATGAGTTGATTTAACATCAGAATTTATTTTAATGATCTCTAGTGATAACTAAATTAAATCATCTTCAGTTTTATTGAAAACAATGCACTGCTAAGTACCTGACCTGCACATTGATTTATTACACAAGTTTTCATGTGAAATGAGACACCAATATTTTTATTTGCTTTTATCCTTTTCCCTTTCTATCCCAATGTTGTTTAAATGAAGAAAAATGATAAGAGGTCTTGAAAAGAGAACCAGATTTGTGCTTTTCTGTATTAAGAGAATTCCTTCTTTTAATGACTCTAATTAAGTGATTCTTCTTATTGTTGAAGAATTCTTTGTTTTCTAATAAATATACATTTCTCTTTCATGTTTCTGATTTTCTCTTGGAGTTTTATTTTTATGTTTATCGACTCCCTTCCTCTATGTGTTTGAGCACACATAGTTGAGGACAATATTTTATAATTCATAACACTTTCTATTATTTTATGTGATTTTTATAATTAGCCATTTCTCTTTGTGAGTGGTTGTCATTGCTATAGTTTGCTCCTTGGTATGATATTAATGCTCTTATCTTCTCATAATTCTCAAAATCTTGAGGCAAATTTTCAGTTCAAGTCCTAAGTGAGTACATTAAGGATAAAAGTATTCTTGTGATGAAGGATGATTATTTTTATTTTTAGTACCAAAGGTGGAGATAAAATAGGTTTATTTTTCTCTAAATGCATATGCCTTAGAGAGACGCAAGTTCAGTTTCTTGGAATAAAATCTAAATCAAATTGTACTGCTGCCAATCATCTTCCAAACACCTAGTAGAGAGGAGTGGGGAGGGTTAGTGAATACACCAAGTATCCATAGAGATGTACAGTAACAAACATTCTTATTTGCTGTTTTGGGGTCTAAATCTGTGTAATTTTTAAAGGAAAATTTGATATTGTTTATAATTGAAATTCTCTATACCATTTGTTCTACATAAATATTCTATACTGTGTACAGGTACTTTTGATACAGCTCTGGAAACTTGACAGATCATGCCTTTAAAAATTGAGTCTATGTTTTCCACATATAATTGGACATAGGCAGTGTTTGATGTGGGCAAAGAAGTTCAACAATCTAATCAGTGTGGAGACTCTATCATTCTTCGCTGACATCATTAGAACATCTTGTTTTTCTCCCTGTATTTGTTTCATCACATTGTCAATATGTTAGACTCATCGTCAGGAACCAAGTCTATATTCCAAGAGGAAAGAAGTAGAAAGGGACAGCAGCAATGCACACTCTCTTCACACTTGTCACTTGTTAGAAAGTCAGGTCTCTTTGGGAAGCCCCTCTACCCACCCACAGGTTTGATATTGTCTATTTGTTTATGAATGAGTTTCTCTAAATATGAATGATGATAGGAAAGAATCTGGCTTTTAGTACTCAACACTTTCACAATAAATGCTGAAATACGTGTAAAATATGTGCAACATGTGTAGGCATGTGCCATCCATATGGTAAGAGGGAAAAACAGCTAAAAAACCACAAAGTAACTATCAGTATAAGATGAGTTATCATAACCACATAAGGCAAGGAAGGAGGAGAATGAAGAAGTAGGAGATGTCCCCCATCATACACCTTAGCTTTGTGTGAAGTGTTGACATAGCTAATCATTCCTCTAATTGTTATGGTGATAGAAAAGTCTAAATTTAGCCTCATCTTAGTTGAGTTTTAAAATGCACTCTTCTGCTAAGCTAAAGACACATTTTAGATCTCAAGACTGCAAGCAGCAAAATGATCTCCTAACACTCTAGGAACTGCTTGGTCTAGTCTTTGGTATACAACCCAAAGACCCATTGTCACAAGCTACTACAAATAGGAGGCTGATACCATTAATAAAGCATTAATTCACATACTTCTTACAACATGAATTCTAATACTACTTATTCTCTCATTTTCCTTGTCCTCAAAATTGGTTTTTGTTGTTGTTGTTTAGACAGGTTTTCTAGGTTGACATGCTTGCATATCTTTTTATTTTCATTCCCTAGTTTTAATCAGTATTTATGACTTCAGTATTTATAAATCAAATAGAACAAAGACATATAATGTTCCATTGCTGCAGTTTTTAAAAAATTAAAGCTATTCTCCCCATCTATAAATATTTCAACCCAAACTGAACTAGTCATAGAAAGACAGATTCCTAAGTCCACATTTTAGCACCATAAATTGATAGGAATATGAGTCACGGTCCATTAGGTGTGATTTATGCTTCTCATTAAATATAGCTATAGCAATATTTTTTTTTCTGTAAAGAACAGTTAATAGTAAACAAGTTCACTGGCAAGAAACTTAGATTCTCCATAAATAACACTGCTATGGAACTTCAGCACTTCTGCTTTTATAATGCTAATTAGTAGTAGACCAAACATTGGTATGTGTTGAAATCTCTAACAAACAACTTGTTTAATATCCTTTGTCACAAGCTAAAGCAATGCAGAGAAGTTATAAAAAGCTGTTCAAAATCTTATTAAAATCCTGAAATCAAAAGAGCCTAAGTTTGGGGAAAACATAAACCAATGGTTTTGAAATAAAACATTTCCTAATTTTTTTTGTGTGAATAACACGATCTGAACATTGTAGGTATTTTTCACAAGGAAAATGTGGCCAACTTTGGAATCATACTTACATAATGTGGTATATTATACTGTTATTCAGAAAATATGAATCATCCTCACCCCCTTTTAAGGGAATATTTTATTTTCCCACCCTGTGAATGTTGCATTTGGCTATGTGATTCACTTTGGCTAAAATATTAGAGGGTATGACATATAAGGAAATCCAAACAGGAGCTTTATCTGTGCTTGCATGGATTGTAGTGCAGGTTGCTCAGATGGTAAAGAATTTGCCCTGCAAAGCAGGAACTCACTCAAGTATTCTTGCCTGGAGAATTCCATAGACAGAGGAGACTGGCGGGCCACAGTCCCTGTGGTCAGAGTTGGACATAACTGAGCATCTAACACTTTGTTTCTTTCTCTTGTGCCCTTGTCCACAGATGTGAGAATTTCACATCCCAGACAGGGTATCTTTGAGCTTAGATCTCAACATATTTAGAGCCAAGCTGCATTTTGGAGGTAAATCCTACTAAACCCACTACAGTCGCGCAGAGTCAAGCAGAGACATAGTTCATTCTTATACCCATAGACACAGAATGAGTAGTTTTGCCTTTAAGTCACTTTCCCATGCTATTTGCTATTAAACATTGCTACGGTCAAAAGATAAGTTATACAAATAGCAACCCAGGTTGATGAATAATGACTAGTCAAAATCACTCTTTAAAATTCTTTGACCACACACACCACACACACCACAAAAAAAAAATAAATAAATACAATTCTTTGGTCACTAGTAAAACATACTGTAGTTACTTTTGTGTAAACATCTCTGTGATATATCCAAATAAATGTATATTCCAAACTGTATAATGTATATATAAACTATAATTTTATAGTACATTTTAAATATCAAAATGTTCATCCTATGGAAGATTCTTAAGATAATAACCATTGAGGAATAGTATGACTTCTCTTCTCATGAACACTCCTGGGTTTTTAATAGGATAGCCTCCCTAATTAATGAATATTTTCCTCTTTTCCATTCCCCTATTTCTTTTTCCTAAATGTGCATTTAGAACTCTTCTATATAACTCTGCAGTCAACGTAAGATCAGTGTGTATGTGTGTATACTTACATTTTTGTCATGCTTTATTATTTTTAAAAATACTCAATTATGCAAACTTTTATTAATTGAAATAACTACCAACCTTATATGTTTCCCTGATAGCTCAGTTGGTAAAGAATCCACTTGCAATGCAACCTCCTAATGTGAAGAACTGATTCATTTGAAAAGACTCTGATGCTGGGAAAAATTGAAGGCAGGAGAAGGGGATGACAGAGGATGAGATGGTTGGATGGCATCACTGACTCAGTGGACATGAATTTGAGTAAACTCCGGGAGTTGGTGATGGACAGGGAGGCCTGGCATGCTGCAGTCCATGGGGTCTCAAAGAGTCAGACACGACTGAGTGACTGAACTGAACCAACCTTATAATCCAATGATAACACTATTTTAGTTTTTGTTCCCCAAAACATTTTTATTTGGATATTTTATCAGCATGACCTGTTCTCTGATAATTGCCCCTCCCTTATCATAGAATTCAGATGACTGATTCCATTAATGTATTTATTCATTTAGTCATTTGACCCCAAAATGGAGCATTTCTATGATTCAGGGATAGAACCACTATGGTTAAGCACTATTAGGACATTGATATTTATAGATTTTCATACATATGTAATATTATTAAGAAATATAGAATATCCTTTTGGATTATAATTTTTTAGTTTTATCAGTTAACAAAACTATATTTGAGTGTGTACATTGTTTAGTTAAAAACAAAAAAATATTAAAAGAGTAGTACATATTCATTCATCAAGAAGTAAATACTTTTCAAGTGGCAATGTGTGATGCAGAACTTACAGCAAACAA